ATTCCGATGATAACCACTTCCATCATGAAAGTTGCTCATCCTTGTTACCAAAGCTTACACCCGCCCGCTCATCTCACGATCCAGTTTAACCAAACTTCACCCATGTGCCAACCGGCCAACCATGATAACGTCCGGATCAGACCATATCCATTCACGCAGAGCATCCATGGGCCTACCATCATAACGTCCAGATCAGACCGTATCCATTCACGCGGAGCATCCATGGGCCAACTCTGATAACGTCCAGAGTCTAGATCAGACCATATCCATTCCTGCAGAGCATCCATGTGCCAACCATGATAACGTCCAGATCAGAGCATATCCATTCCCACAGAGCATCCATGTGCCAATCATAATAACGTGCAGATCGGACCATATCCATTCCCGTGTAGCGTGTTGGAACGATGTGATGAATCTGAGTCGCCACGGGGAGGGGCGTGCTTCAGATATTGGATGAATGGCAATCGCGGCAGGTGGAGAGTTTTTTTTTGGAGTCATCAACATGACTCGTGACAGCTGGCTGCCGCACTGCTGGATCCAGCAATGCAGGAGCCTTCCAGTACGTGTTATCTCAGCCATGCATGGTAGGCTTTAGCAGCAGCAGCATGGTGGCGTGCATGCAGACAAGGTTGCTGCGGAGCGTGCTAGTGACAGGTGATTTCATGCCGCGGCAGTAATCAAGCCGTTGCTTCTATGCACTGGGCTTGGATCTTACAGCTCATGTGCAAGAATCGCAAACTCGCCAGCAGTGGGATATCGTGTCTCGCATTCAGCAGCGCCAAAATTGGGTAGAGCATATGCTGGGCAATGCATAGAAATGCATGGATTCGTAGATGTATGTGTGTATGTGGCTGGACGATGCAGGCCATGACGAACCTCTCCGTTCTGGCAACAAACCCTGGGCAGACTGTGACATCGAGGCATGCAGAGAGGTCATGGGCAGCGAGGTAGAGTCCATGTAGAGCAGCGTCCAGGAGGATGCCAAGGCTTACCTAGACACGCACGGTGCAATCACCGTGAAGACGGCAGTGAGAGGCTGAGAAGAGATATGGACAAGGATAGAGACCACCCGGCAAGGATGGAGCGACCAGCGCTGCCAAGCCACTCAGGTCGGCTTCATCACGATCAACAAGGCGAGCTCTGTGACATTTGTTATGCGTGTACGCTAGTCAGCGAGAGCTTGGGCTCGCTGCAGGCGTACTTGCAAGATGCGCAACCGAGCCGCCTTCCTGTTCCCTGACCGCAGAGGAAGTTCCGCAAGCAAGAACGACACGCTCAGCACGTCCTTGCAGGCAAAAAAACTTCCTGCAACGCGCCAAGCCAGCATGGACACAAAGCAGAAGACCAGTAAGGCCAGCGCACGGCGCGCAGCAAGGTCGCGCAAGGCCTGATATCAGTAAGTAGCGGCCCGACTTACAAGTGTAGCTGCCAGTTGTGACATTGTAAGAGTCTGAAGGAGGCAAAGAAAGAGACGACGGTCGCGAAGCAAGTCTCTCGCGACAACGACGATGAACTGCTAAGAGATGCGTTCATCATGGCCGCAAAAGAGCGTAACGAAGGGCTGTATCTTCAAGACGACTGGTGTGACTCCTCTGCAATGCAGTCTATGTAGAGTTGACTGCAGCCGTGTGCAGTCAGGCGATGCGTCGTTTGGGCCAAGGCGACTAGCGACGATGGGCCTGACGAGAGCACAGACAATTGCCGACAAGAAGCGAGGCTTCCTCGGGACAAGACCACTCAGCCCAGTGCTGACGGTCTAGCCTAGTTGCAAGGAGCATAGGATCAGCGATGTGCAGTGTTCCAATATTTGCATTGTTGTCAGAAGGAAGTCGAGATTGCTTGTGCCGCCTCGAGAAGACATCCGCTTCTCCGACACGTGTTTGATCGACTCCTTGCGCGCCTTGGGCATTCGCATCCCGTATGTGCGCAACGGGCCGTTTCGGGCCTTGCGGGATGGTGGCGAAGTCTTGAGGCCGCAGAAGTGACTTGCTCGCAGAAGAAAGAAGGACTTGCAGGCAAGCCTCACGAACCGACTTAGTGTATAAGTGTACGTTCTGGAGATCGTTTCCAGAAGACGGGCGGCCAAGGCGTGGTTGGGTCGCAGACCCCGCAGTGCCGGGTGGTTAGGCGCCTGGCAAGTATACGTGGTCTTGTGGAAGCGTTAACGTCGCATTTCTACTGCGCGGACGTATTCGCGGATGGCGAAGCTCTGATGTACACGTCTTGCAGGCGACACGAAGGGCAGGTAGTGGATCCGGAACTCTTGAGCATGCTGCGTGTGGATGCAAGGTACAGAGTCGTACGTGACGATGATGGAGCAGGACTGCTGCCAGAGACGAAAAGGCGAGGCTGTCGAGCACGCAGATGGTCAATCCTGCAGAAGATCGGCGCGGAGGTGCTGACGACTCTGACGAGGACGCTGTCAGAAAACTGTCTTCATATGAAGACTTCGCGGAAAGAAGGCTAGAAACTGTTCGATGAAAGCTCGCACCTGGCACCCGGCACGTGCCAGAACGCCTTGCATGTGCAAAACTGCACGCTGAGGCAGTGGACAGACGCTTCTGGTCACCGGAGACTCAAGCTACGCAGACCTGCCACGGCAATGCAGCGAAAGCTTGTTGCAGACAACCTGGCCGCGCGCGCTGCGCGTGCACATGCCAAAATCACGCAGCAGCTTGCTCCGTGTTCAGAGGCCCTGCACGTAGCGCTGAGCCGTCCAATCTCGAAAAGGCAGGAAACCATGTTGCTCCATGCGAGTGGCACATGCAGACTCCAGCAGCTTTCAACACTCAGAGCTACGCCTGCGGCGTCGTGCTGGGAGAGTACATCATCAGCTGCAAAGAAGTACACTCAGCAGTACGCGTGTCGGATTCCACGACGACATGGTATTGTGGGCATTTTCAAACAATGCTGTCGACTGCAGTCTGGATGCAAATAGCAGCTTTGGAGGAAACTGCCCTTTGTCACGTAGTCCGATTACCACCCTCGAGCGATTGCTTGTCGAACCGAGCATCAAGATGGAGTGCCAGCAGCGAGCTTCCACGAAGGCGCAAACACGTTGAGAAGAAGCCGCGCAGGCATTCATTCGGAGCAAAAGCTGTGGAAGGAAGCTGACACGCGCAGTGACGCGCAGTGCAGAAGGAAGGGCAACGTGACGAGCAAAGCGGTCACGCCGGCGGTGCCGTAGCAGAGAAAAAGGCACACAGTGTGTTTCGAGTTCGGAGCTTCGAGCTCTGCGCATGCTTGCCCGGCTCGAGTTTCTTTTTTGTTTTGGCGACTCCAGCGATCCCGCGTTGGCACGCAGCCGAAGCCCGGCGGCGCGAGAAGGCGCAACACTTTCTAAACACCTAGAAAGTGCAGCCGGATCTGGGTGCCAGTTTTTGATGGCTCAGAGAGGGCGGTACATCCTACAACAGGAAAACCAAAGTCGGGCAGTGAAGACGAAGTAGGCCACCACCAGGTAACAAACAAGCAAAAACCTCTCGGGATTTCACTGGCGCCGCCCACACGGGGGTCGGCGGATGTTGGGAAGAAGTAACAAAAGACCAGATGTGTCACCAAAAAAATGGCGAAGCCATTGATGCATGCGTTACCGTACAAGCGCGAATGCACCACCGCCTATCACTGGCGCAAATCAAATTGAGAAGCTACACAGTCTTCTGCGCCTCCCGAATCAATGGTGACATGATTCAGCTGTCTGGTTGGGGCAACACCCGCGATGCAAATCGGGCGTGGTGACCGCCATCTGCCATATTTACCAGCTTGTTCCATCGCCATGGTCGGTGAATAATTGTGGGCTCGTGTATAGAAACCACGTGAAGGAAGCCAATCGGTGTCGGTGGTCATGAAGTTGCTTGGTCGCAACATACCCAATTCAAGAATCGAAACAGCAGCACTTGTTGTTGTACTATGCGTGAAAAGAAAAGGATTCATCTGTGGCGAAATCTGATGCACCTCCCGAAGTGGCACCCGAATCTTCACCTTGAGGTGAATGTAGTTCTTGGTGTCCACTGTTCCAAAGCTTACGGACACATTCATTATTGTCAACAATCTCCGAAAGAATCAATATGCCCGCAATAACTTTATGGAAAAGTGGCGGCACAACCGGATAAGTCATAGCCATCAGATTTGGCAAGATCATCAACATACTGCCACACCGTAGCTCGCAAGGTAGGCTAAGTATCCGCAGTTGGATCACTTTCAACATATGAGCGAATCTCGAAAGTGCACTTGTGCCTTGCCGGCAAATCCAGGAACACGTTTGCGCAAGGCCAGCATGGGTGCCACCAACGCTGACCAATCGTAGCGTAAGTTGGCCTTGAACTTGATGGGCCCTTCAGCAGTGTAAAGCATAAAAGGACGCAGTTCAAGTAGAACAAAGAATTGAGGCTCTTGCTTCCACGGCATCTCGAAACACTGACTGTGCACACCAGAGCTCTGAAATTCATGATCATACAGATGAGACAGAACTGGGCAACGAAGAAAGTAGTTACCAATTTGCAACCAACCATCTCGAGGTAAGCTCGGATCCGACAAGTATCGCCACTGAACAGGAATTGGACGTGCTACAAGAATAGGTGTCAAAGCTTGGTCTGTGGCGGGGGTGGGTGCATTGGAAATGGATGTGGCAGGTGTGAATGTAGTGCTGGGTGGCGTGAGAACAATGACCTGTGGGGTGTGGCGGCAGCTGCTGCAGATGATCCATGTCTCACAAACAGGTCTTCGCTCCCAAACTCGATCCGGACCGTCATGTTTCCTGCTTGCACAGAAAATTCTGCCGCCGGAGGTAGCTGCGGTGGTGGAAGTAGGGGCATGGTCATAGCAGCATGGATGGGAAAGACCGGGGGGCTGGGGGGAGGTTGGGTGATTGGCGGAACGATCGCATGCAGATCAGGTGCGGATGAGATGATGATGGGAATCAAGGGGGATTGAAGGTCTGGGAACGTATGGCGCGGCTTCGAGGCTGAAGGGTGACGTGCTGAAAGTGGTACCATGCTCAGGTTTGGCCGTGAAGTACATCATCATGTTGGAACCTGACAATACCATGTTACCCGGCTGCAAGGCACACTGCCACGAGCCTCAACATGTCTCCTTGCTGTGCAGTCATGGATACCCGAAACGGCCCCCTGGGGCTGACCTTGGAGGATTACTGGTGCACCATGCCTGCAATGAAAGATTCCCGATTTGAGCCGGACGTGCTGTGGCTGTCGACTAAGGCAGGGCCGCAGCTTCGGTCTGGTTCGGTATGTGGTCGCTTGGCTGTCAGACTCGCACATCCACACTCTCAACTATGACACGGGCTGAGGAGAAGATGGCGCAACAGCGAAGTCCTGGTTTCAAGTGGACGAAGCACTTTGTCACGGTTTCAGGATGTGCAGGTGATGTTGTGGAAGTATGTATGTGCACGTGGCATGAACGAGGCTAGGCGCCCGCCATGCATCGGCACATATTGGCACACATGGTTACAGACCGTTGCCGGGAGACTTCGGGAGCCAGTTCTCAGTTCCCGAAGAACACATTACGGTCGCGTGTCAAACCCAGTGCACAGCTTTTTGCTGGCTCCATGGCCAGGGCAGGCTGTGCACAGTTTGCAGTGCACATACTTTGGCTGGCTACGCTCGCAGTAATGGCTTCTGGTACTGATGGTGCACACAGAAGAGGAGCCTTATGCGTGTCAGAGTGATTTCCAGCGAGCCCGCGCTTGGCTCCACATTGCATGTCACACATTCAACTTTTCGCACCCAGCCAAGGAAGAGCATGTCTTCAGGGCTGTGCGGAGGCGTCCCTCGGAAGCAGTGAGAGGCCATTGGTGCTCCCGCGTTCCGAGTATGGTGCATCAGTCATGAGTGTAGGTGCACAGACCCAAGATGCCCAGGCGTACTTTCGGCGTGAGGCAGTGCTGGCAGCTTGATTCGCGTTGTGGCAGCTCTGGTTGCTGACTTCATGGCTTGTGCTCTGCCCAGTATCACTAGTCACTGGGGAGATACTGGGAGGAAGGCAGAATGCGGGTCGTCATGACGAGACTTCAGTTTGGAATGAGAGTGACCTTATTAGTCCGAGGACGCTCTGTCCGATGAGAGCATGATGAAGCTGGACTGGAACTATCTAGGCGCCAGCTTCAAAGGCATACAGCAGCATGTAACTGCTCTTTCAATCAATGGATACTTTGGCAGAAGGTGACAGATTGAGCAAAGAGATATTTTCATCCGATTTTGCAATGCAGCACCTTGCTTCAATGATGAGTAATAAGAGCAAGAACTGGCTTTGGGCGGCAGTTGAAGCCGGCACCTGAGGTATGCATTTGCAGCTCGGGGCTGGAGAATCGAACCTTGGGAGGAGACTGCGCAGCCACTGATCTCAAGTTTGGATCCGCTGATAGATAGAGGTTTAGGGTGGCACGACTGGAGCAGTTGACACGGGCATTGCACGTAGCTGGCCAGGATGGACAAGCATCCCGACGAGCCCTTGACTGGAGCCAAAGATGCGGCATTCCGCCACTACTGCTCTTGCTATCCTGGGGGCAAACCCACCTACAACCTCAAAGTTGCAAAGGCCGTCGCTTCCCCTGCAGACAGACATGTTGCTTTGCACGGCAATGTTGGCATTGATCTACAACCTTGGGGCGCCGTACGGCATGGCACGCAGTTCTTGTGTGAGTTGTTTTTGACGTCTTGTTTTCCGGCCGTTGGAATCCGTTAGAATCTGCTGTGCTGTGAAGATCGGCCCAGATGTGGAATTCGCATGATGCTTGACATGCGGCTTTCGTTCGTATGGTGTCGTCGTCATACAGCAATAAGCAGTGGAAGCGGAGGGTGACTAAGGACGAGAGGCTCTTCAAGAGTGGTGGGTGGCTTGGATGCACCGATTTCCGACTCAGTGTCAGGCCTCTGAGCAGGCTGTGCTTTCCTAGATGACTACATGCCAGATCATGCCAGTGTCCTCATTCTCTTCGTTCTCATGTCTTTGTCGATTTTTTTTGATTCTGAAGGCGGTCATTTCAGTCTTCTGCCATTGCCCCCGACGGTGCATGCCGCGGATTGTATCGTCATATCATCATATCGTTTACCAATTTACCATCAGCTCCGTATGAAATTGCACAAGGTCATGGGGAACGTTGCTTGGGCCCCATCTTGGGTTAAAAAAGCAAAAGGCGAGTCTACCCGATGTAGTCGAATCCCAAAATCTCGAAGCCGTGCATGCTACCTTTAGAGATTGATTGGGCAGCAGCTGCACTGGGTTCGTGTTTCGGCCGCAGCTCAGGTATCATATGACCTCTGGTCCATATTCTTCATCTGTCTGCCAAGTCTGCTACAACTCGACTCGGTACATTCAGCTCTGGGGCTCTGCAACCCGCCAGCCCGTGTTTAAGGGTTGCATCCCTAGTGTCGACGCTGCAGTCTGCAGGCGAAGTGCACAAACACTATTCCGTTCCAGCTTTCGGAGAAGCTGCTGAAGAGGTGGTGATGTCAGATCGTGTCTTGCAAGAGCGCTTGTTTAGGACCATCTAAATTGAAGATGTGAGCGTTTCGTGCGCTGGTAATCAAAAACGCCCGCAGCGGGTCGCTCACGTACGGTGGACGTTTGCTATGGTGGCGCCGTCACTCGGAAGCGGTCCCGGGGACCCGGGGAGCTCACCCGGGCTGTTTTGCAAGCAACGCATGTTTTTGCAGCAAGGCAGTGGGACCGCCGCGAATGGCAGAGTTGGATTGGCAGTAAATCCGATCCTGGCACAGCGCGGGAGGACACCCTTCAGGACCCCAAGGTCCTGGAACAGTGAGACCATGGATGACACCATGGAGGAAGTCGAGGTCGAGCAGCGGCCTCCACTATCCCGACACCACCGCCAACAAACTCAGTCTGCCATGCAAAAAGGGGGGAAGAGTGGCCCCAGCCGACGAAATAACCTACCGAAAAAGGCGACTCCACACGATGACCAGACAAGCCTGCCGGGACGTACCTCGTGGGGCATATGATCACCACAACGCCGACGCCGAGCACCTGTACGAGCTCGAGAGAAACTGGCAACATAAATCCGGCGACTCTCTCAAGACGGGGGGAGCCTGAAGCGAACCCACGACGACGCCACCCAGCCAAGAAAACAGCCTCCCAAACCATGTCGTTAAGGACTGCGGAGAGCCTGTGTGGAAAAGATTTCACTTCGCTTCACATGTCTGCTCGCAGTCGTGTCCGTCCACAGAGCAAGCAGAGGCTGGGGGGGGGGTCAGGCAGGGAGGTCCTGTGAGTGCACGTAGGGGTTTTCTGAAGGCGACGTGTCATTGACCTCAGCCCTTGTCTATTAATTACCTCCCCAAGCAATGCTTCACACTGACCACTTTACTCCCTGACAATGCGTGGGGAGAACGCCAAGACCGAGAACCGGTTTCGCGGATTCGCGCAGAGGCAGCCCGCCCACGGGCCAGCAGCAAGGAAGCAAGACAGACAGAGACAGAGACGGACGGAGAGAGAGAGATACAGACGAGAGAGACACAGACAGACAGACGGACGGACAAACAGACAGACAGAGACAGAGACAGAGACGGACCCTGTCCCCATACCCCGAGCAAGCAAGCAAACAGAGACAGACGGACGGACGGACAGACGGACAGAGACAGACAAACAGACAGACAGACAGATAGGTTAACAAAGTGGCGTGTCTTTTGTGGTGAAGCAAGAAGGGGCCGGGCCCCAGCAGAGACTAACAAAATGGGGCTTTGTTTTCAGTAAAGGGGACAGAGAATAGGCTATCAAAGTGGCGTGCCTGTTCTGGTGAAACTTGAAGGGGCCGGCCCCAGCATAAACTAGCAAAGTTGGGCTTTTTTGTCGGCGAAAAAGGAAAGGGAAAGGGGACACGGCATTCACCAACAAAATGGGGCTTGTTTTTGGATTCGGTAAACAGAATAGAAGTGGCATGTCTTTTGTGGTGAAGCAAGAAGGGCCGGGCCCAGCAGAGCAACCTTTGGTGAGGTCCCCAGAAAAGACCGCCCCACCGCGTGCGCCGCCGCGGAGGCCAGAAGAGGCCGCCCTGCTAGGTGGGCCCCATTGCAGAGACAAAAAGAGGCCAGCCCCACCGGCGCACGTTGCGGCCTGCAACCGCAACCTAAGTGGGGCGGCCAAAAAGATTTCCTCCGAGTACTGGCGGGTGTTGTTGCCACAGGCGTTTCCCCGTGCTGCGGGATTCCGGAAGCGTGTCAAGAATGATTCTAACGCTACGCAGCCCGCCTTGGCCCGACAGTGCAGCAGCCCCTCCCGGGCAGGGGCGTGGAGCTGCAGATCTTGGACTTTGTCGGATAACCTCCGGAGAGGAGGGGTGGGGGCAGGCTAGGAGGCGGGGAGGGGAGGCGAAAAGGCAAGGAAAACTGTATGAAAATGGCCAAAATGGACTGGAACGAAGGGAATTGACAGGTCAAGAACGAAGGGAGGGGACAGGTCAAGGAGGGGTTAGGCGGGGCGGGGGCCCGAAAAACGCGTGGAGGAAGCTTTGGTGGTGGGTTGTTAACCCTCAAGATGCGGAGGCCTATGGCCTCGGCGGATATTAACAAAATGGTTGTCTTTGATTGCCGGATAGGTTTTTGTTGATGGCTGAGAAATAGCTCTTTGATTGTTGAAGCAGATCTTTTGATGGCTCACCCCAGACAAACAGACAGACAGACAGACAGGAGGCTGAGAGACGCACGCACGCTCGATCCACCGATCGGTGGGTAGATAGATAGTTAGAAGATAGATAGATAGATAGATCGATAGATAGATACATTTATACAAAAACAAAGGGACGCTTTCTGTGTGTGTGTATATATATATATATACGTACATTCCAGCATACATGCATACATACATACATTCATTCATTCACATATTCATACATGCATGCATACATACCTACATCCTGCGTAAATTCATACATATCTACGTACATACAGGTGTGCATAACCCTTTGTATGCCGACATACACACAAACGTACACACGCACACAGATATGCAAAGCCCCATAGGGATACTCGCAACGCACCAGGCCCAAGCTACATTCACTCCATCATCCCCACTGTTGGTGGGAATCTGTGGATAGCAGACCCGGATGGCAAAGAAGCTACGGCGTGTAACGATGTTCCTGTGTTTGGTAAGATTCTTGACATAAAAACCCAGCCCCAGGTTTTTGAGGCTCGCACAACCTTGCACTCTACTGTCAAATGGGAAGGTGACTCGAGTATAACAAACATCTCCTTCTTGGACTTACATACGTGTTTCTGCGATGCCGGAAAGTTCAAAGCTGACACAGACCGCTGTCCCCTTCACACATTCCATGGGAGTGGGGGGTCTCGTGAATCATGAGTGCTACCGTTGCGCTGCTTGATACTGGAGGGGTGCAAGCTGAGACAGACCGCTGTCCCACTACATGCAAGTGGAATCTCAACACCGTCGGCGCTTTGCCGGCTTTAGTAACCTGTCCCTGCTCGTGGAAACCATGCGTACGTTGCAACCCTTTCAGGCCTGGATGTGGATACGATGCCAGCATCAAGTAGTAATTCTTGGGATAAACGTGCATTAATTCTGAATTCTGAGTTTGATTTGGGGCTTAATTGGTTGCCTTGTGTCCTGCATTGGAAACGCACAGCTACTGCATCACGATTTCCGTCCTGGACTTTTGTGGGCAGTGTTGTTTTGCTGGTCAGCCGACTGTTCGCACGCTTGCTCTCCTGTGTTCCCGCTGTGCATTTTGCCACGGGAAGCACAGTGGAATAAGCATCCAACATGAGCCCTCCGAGACCATCGCGTACTGAGCCTTGCGTATGCCTGAGAGCTTGAGAGAAGCTCCCTCTGTCCCTGAAGCTCGCAAAGAGCCTGAACTTTGCTGCAGTTGCTTAAAGCAAGATGTCTTCAGTATTCGTTGGAGTCTTTGGTGTGACCTTAATACGAGGAAGCCCTGGGGCTCTGACATTGCATGAGTGACATAACCGAACATAACCTGCAATGCGGGCTCGTCCTTGCTACGTCGGAGGGACAAACACAAATATACAGACAGGCAGACAGACAGACAGACAGACAGGCAGACAGACAGACAGGCAGGCAGATGTACATACATACATACTTACTTACTTACTTACTTACTTACTTACTTACTCACTCACTCACTCACTCACTCACTCACTCACTCACTCACTTACTTACTTACTTACTTACTTACTTACTTACTTACTTACTTACTTACTTACTTACTTATATATATATATATGTAGGGTTCACCCTGTCGGATTCGCAGATAAGACGTAGTACC